GGTTTAGGTTTAAAACTAAAACCCAATCGGGGAAACCCAAGTACCTCGGAAAAAATTTAGGCCAACCGAAAAAATTGGGATACCCCTTTACTTTGACCCTGGTTCCGCCACAGGCTATAACCTAGTTACTACAATACAAGAATTTAACCGTTACAAAAGCCTCACAATTGTTGCACTAAACTATTTTGATCAACAAATTATCAAACTATTAAACCATCAACCTGTAAGTCATGAAGATTAAAAGTTTCAAGAAACAACTAACCCGATTTTGGTACCCACTAATTGCAGCCCTCTCTAGTGGCTTATTTATCTGCATAACTTTGGAAATCAACAATTTGTGAAAGGAAATGTTCACATTTTTAAAAAACATGTCAGCTAAATAAATAAATTTAGAGGCATACAACTTTTACCATTATCAAGTGTTTGCCATTGTTTAGTTTCTTTTTATAGTCACCAACCTTGACCAGAAGTTAGGCAAACTAATACCATGAAAAAATGCATGTGATCATACATTTAAAATGATCAAATAGTTCAGCTTCACATTCCAAAACATAACAGATGCATACACTAACTTATATAGTACCCAAGTTGATCATACGCAACAACCTCTAAATTAGATAGCATGTGACTAAGAAGTCTTTAAATTGATGGGATTAAAGAGTTCAATTTGACCATACCCAATCGCCAGTTCCTTGACCTTTGACTTTTCCAAGTCATATTTCTTTCTTCAATCACGAATTTATGACCCTAAAATCGTTTTGATCATTGAGTGTCGTGTCACTTCGAAGCATAGCTAATTCTCGGCCATAATCATACTCTAACATGGTGTTACTATATGCATCTTTAAACTCTTTTACATTCCATCAATGATTATCTGAAAAAAAAATATAAAGTTCTTAATGAATCCTTTTATCATTTCAAGAATCAAGTATGACTCTTGAACCATAAAGTACAAGACTTTTATGTTTCACTAATCTTGTGACAACAAATGTTTGACCAGACATATGCAAGCAATGCCAACACATTTACAAATATTAAGAGGTACCTTAGAGAAAATAACAAATTTATGAAAATTATTATATTTTGTATGAGAAAAATTAAGAATGACAGTTGGCCATTTCCTCTGATGATGTTGTACAAGGAACTCTTATGGAAAAAGAGGAAAAAGCTATTGAGGTGACCAAAAAACTAATCTCAAGTTGTAATCATACCTTCTAATTAGTAGAATATTAATCTCATCTAAATGAAGAGCTCTTTCATAAATTCTTGCCTGGAAATCAACAAAAACATCCATTAAAATTCATCAATAACATGATTTGTAGAAAAAAAGAGGTAATGTAGATTGAAAGAAAGATTGATTTCATAAACTGTAAAGTTACATTCGAAATGACTTGAATGAATGTCGAAGTTCAAAACCTGATAATGCCATCTTTGAGATCCAACATATAATACAAATCCTTAAAACAACATATAATACAAATCCTTAAAACCTTGATTTTTTAGGCTTTACATAAAAATATAAAAGTTATAAGAAACGTGGAATAGCGAACCAGATTCAAATAAATCTACCTGATCTCCATAATCTTATGATTTTTGAACTTCTTGGATTCCAGATGAACCCTAACAATTTGCAAAAAAAAAAGACTTTAGTTTAAACATTAATTGAAAATCAGCCTACAAAACATAAGCATTATCCTTTACACCAAATGCACTTCCAGAAATCAGAATGAAGGTGTGGTGGCTATAATCGAACCTTTAAGTTAAGTTCAAACGATAGAAAACCTAAAATCGAAAAAGAAAATTTTAAAATCAAACCTTGTATTCTTACAGATAGAAAACCTATAGTCGAAGTTTTTATATGAGATGACGAACACGTGAAAAGGGAAGTGGAAAGCAACTTAAAACAATCAGATCGCGAGATGATTAAGATGAGGAAACCGACAAATTTCCAATGACGATGTAAGGGTACGATGGTGGTGTTCATTGCGGGGATGAAATGGGAGAAGGGAAGATCTATGGGTGGTGGTTGAGGCGGAGCAACAAACGACGACCTATCAGAATGCCATCGATTGGTGTTTTTTAAAGAAGATGTATCACTGGTTCTAAAGGTCGACATTAAGGTTTCTTGAGAGATTAATGCCATAAATGTGCTCAGAGGAACTTCTATTTGAATTCTACCTTTATATGAACATATAATACCGAGTTACAGGGGAAATCCCGATATACGGGAAGGGGCCTAGTCAAATTAATATCACCATGTGAAACTAACAAGAGATAAGGAGATGAAACTGACAATACGTATTTGTATCTGCCCTTTTCATTTGACTTTTTGACTTTTATTGAACAAATAAGATCGGCAGTGCATAAACTCTTTGTAGATAATGCAGTATTCCTTTTGACTTTTTGTACGGCTTAATTTTCAGCGTTTAATCAAATATCTTTTACAAGGTATAATATATATATATATATATATATATATATATATATATATATATCCTCATTCTAATAAAAGAATAGTTTCATTTTCCTTTTGACATGTGTCATCATATCAGACCTCCTAATTAATACATATTTTATTCTTTTTTTGTCATGTGTCACCCTATTATATTTTCTAATTAAGCCACTTGTCAATCTATTGACTCTCCATTTCAAATTTGAAATTTTAATTTTCCTACTCTAATTAAATTAAATTAATACAATTATTATAAAATTAAAATTAAATCAATACAAATTAAAAAGTGATATAATTTCACATATTTATTTAAATCAATGATTATAATTTTATATAACTAAAAAAAATCTCTTAATTAATAATTTATTTAAAATAATTTGAAATTTTACTATAAAAGTTTAATTAGTTTTATAACCGTGGTTCTTACGGGTTATATAAACTACTTTATATATATATATATATATATATATATATATATATATATATATATATATATATATATATATATATATATATATATATATATATATATATATATATATAGGTTATTATGTGGATGGACAACTATTGTGTGGACGTGGATAATGCTATTTTATGAAAATTAGTAAGATAATATGTTGTTTTGTAATGTGAATACGTTGAATCTCACAGAACTATTGTTATTTTAATGGATTATCACAAAATATGCTATTTTTATTTATTTTAATTCTAACAGAATAGATATCTTGATAACATTCTGACAGAATGAGAATAATTAAAAAAAGTGTATAATAACCTTATAGACGATTTAATTAGTGAAAATGATTAATAATTACACGTGCACATAATAGATGTCAATCCACATTTGAACTTAGCTCTCTCTCTCTCTCTCTCTCTCCGATATATATATATATATATATATATATATATATATATATATATATATATATATATATATATATATATATATATCTTTACTATCGTATAAAACAAATCCCACTATTTCTAAAAATAGATTGAATAAAATAATAATATTTTTTTAAGACGTCCAAATCATTAAGCTAATTGTACAACTAATCACTAATAAAATAATATTAAAAATTAAACAAACTCCTAAAAATCTTCTCTTCCAAAGTTTTGACCAGATCCTTTTTCATCCAAATAAATACTCAACACTCTATAATTTGATCATTTTATGAATTTTCGTTATTTTTAATATGACATGTTTCCTAAAACAAACTAATGATTGAGTTGAAAATAATCATTGTCCATCGAAAAGAAATTAATTGTCGAAACAAACTATTTATCGCCCGCCGCTTTGCGCGGGTAAACGGCTAGTGTGTATATATATATATATATATATATATATATATATATATATATATATATATATATATATATTACTAAGTTTATACTTTTGTACATCTAATTGCGTATTTCATCAAAACAAAGAACCCATAAAGCAAAACTTTAAATGAAACAAATTTAGAATACAAATCGATTGAAGCATTATGGTAGGAGAAATCAATAGAAGCATTCCAGAAATAAGAAAAACCATAAAGCATTATTGATCGAAGTCAAGAAACACGTATTTTCTTTTTGAAGCATTGTGTCTGGCTCTAGAACTTATCAAGTCTCAAATAAGTAAAGAATCAAAGATAATTCATTTTAACATGGAGGTCGAGAAACACCCCCAATAAAATTTACCAGATCTTTTGAGACGTTTGTCATCATTCAAGGACTTTGACGATCCTGAAACCTTGTTGGGTTTTCCGACGATGTCTTTGTTGATAGAACTTTTTGTCCTTAAATTTTCTTTTAGGTACAAATTGGAATTTTCTTTAATTTATTTAAGGAAAAGAATAGAAATATTACAAAAACTACAAATCACTCAAAAAAAGTAGTGATTTCAAAACTATATTACGAAAAACCAACCAACATGTTACCAACCGAACAAAAAACGTTGGTAAACAATTTGTTTGGTAAACCAACATGTTTGGTTGATAATATTGTACCAATTGAGCAAAATTAATACGATAACGGTACATTAGTTAATAGTTACCACCACGTTAAATTACAAAAATTAAAACATTATTTTCATGTTAGTTCAATAGAATGATTTAGTAAATTCAAAGAACAATGTAATTAATTAATTTATTTATTAATTCTCAAAATTACCATATTACTTATTTTTGAATCTTATAATAAAAAATTAATAGAAGTTGGCGTATACCATTTCCAATTTGTATCAATCAAATATATTGGTACAAACTATACTTGTTACGATACAGGTAGCAAAATATTTGTACCTAGTATAGTAGGTACGGTACAAGGTTTAAAGGGGAAAAATCGGTATCGTACCATGTTCACCCCTAAGAAAAAGATCGAATATTTGAACCATCGTCGAACGCATTTGGTTGGTTTTAACCGACTTGTTTACAAAAGTAACAAATTTCTTCCACCCCTCGGAAATTCTTGTCATCCAAAAACGGATAATCAATTTCTTTTCTAACTTTTGTGGCTTTAGCTACATTTGTGGCTTTACATGGCGATGACTCTCGTTATTAAACTAGCTATCACTACTACTACTACTCATATTACCACCCCCGCCACGATCACTACTACTGCTACTACTCCTGTTCCCACCTCTGCTACTACCCCCTCCCCAACTCTCTCCCCTTGCATTCGTATTGTCACTAACCCAACGCCTACCCCCACCATATGCATTGCCCCATATCCTACCCCTACCACCTCTACCGTCCCCTTCCCAACTCCAGCTTCTGCTCTCACCCTCACTTTCACTCTCACTCTCACTCTCACTCCCACTTTCACCCTCGTTGCCACTACCACCCTCACTCTCCCCACCATCGATACCGGCATCGGTTTCACTTTTGCTATCACTCTCTCTACCACCCCCGCTTTCGCTATCGCTCTCTCTACCACCCTCACTTTCGCTATCGCTCTCTCTACCGCCCTCGCTTCCGCTATCATTCTCTTTACCGCCCTCACTTTCGCTACCACTCTCTCTACCGTCCTCTCTTCCACTAACGCTCTCTCTACCGCCTTCGCTTCCACTACCGCTCTCTCTATTTTCCTCGCTTCCACTTCGCCTGTCGCTCTCGCTGTTGCTCTCGCTCTCGCTCTCCCTACCGCCCATGCTACCACTACCGCTCTCATTCCAGCTCTCTTTGGCTCTCCTCCTCTCCCTTTTTTTAGCGCTTGCCAGCCTGACCACCCTGGCCCACCTGACCCTCACCAACCTTGCCCTTGCCCTTTCCTTTGCCTTTTCCTTTTTGTTTCCCCTCACCCTAGATTTGGCTGTAGATCTAGCTTTGGAGCTCACCGTGGATGATTCTGGTTGTTGTTTCTCGCTTTTTCTATTTCTCTTGCTCTTGCTTTTGTCTTTGTCCTTGCTCTTGCTTTTATCTTTATCTTTGCCCTTGCTCTTGCTATCATTCTCGATGGCTTTGTCTAGGATGATAGTTGTGGCTGACACTGGTTGTGGTTGTGGCAGCTCTTGGGTCATGATGGCTATAGCTTTGGTCTTTCCTTTTTGAGATTTAACCTCGAGACCTTCCTACTCAAAAGGGACATTAAACAGTATGTTAGAATCAAAATTGTTTGGTTGGAATATATGATTTTTTTTTTCTATTTTTAATTTGGGTATGATTTTAATTTGGTGTTTCAAGGAGATAATTTATAATTCTTATTTTATATTTTGATTGGAATATATGATTTTTTTCTTTCTGTTTTTAATTTGGGTATGCTTTTAATTTGGCGTTTCAAGGAGATAATGTATAATTCTTATTTTATATTGCATTTAGAGGGTGTTTGGTTAAGCTTATGAAAAATCATAATTACATTTCTGCTTATAGCTTATAGCTTATAAGTTGATAAGTTAAGGGCCTCTTACTTATTGATTTTGATTTATTACCGATTTGGCACCGGTATATGCTATTTTTATACAATCACACTTTTTAGCTTATATCGGTGTGGAACCGATAATAAGTCAAAAAGCTCAATTTTTAAGCTTTGTCAAACACCCTCTTAGTGTTGTTAAGTTAGATGGTCCATGGTTAAAAGTAATGTGAATTCTTATTTTAGTGATTATCATCCGATAAGAAACTCTAAGAGATAATATATATATATATATATATAGAGAGAGAGAGAGAGAGAGAGAGAGAGAGAGTCCATCTTATTTTCTTGTTTTTTCTTAAATAACAATTTGATTAAAGAAAAACTAAAGTAAATTAAAAATGGTATATTTTTATTTTTATATATGTGAGAGATCAACCATTAAAAGTTTTTAAACCATAACATCTATCCTTGATAACGTAAAAAGTTAAAAGACCTAATTTGGAAACCATATAGACAATTTATGAAGGTTTCCTTTTAATTATTATAAAAAAACGTATGAACAGGAAGGAAAAAACAACTTACTTGATGTTCGAGTGCAGTTTTAAGTTTTCTCACTATCTTGTTCATTGATGGGCGTTTCTTACGTTCTCCATTCAAACATTGATATGCAATTGCTGAAAACTCATCAAGAGACTTGGGATGTATTTCTTCCTTTATTTTATCCCAAATAATTTCATTTAGGTTTTTCTCTTCATAGGACTTTTGCACCAATTCAACAAAGTGTGGACGCCTATCGTTGTTGATAATACACAACCTCCCACACAAAACTTCAAATAGCACCACACCAAAGGAGTAAACGTCCGACTCCTTTGTTAGTATCCCGGACTCTATATACACCGGATCACAATACCCAATCGTACCTACAGTATTGTTGGAGACAAGAAATGTGTATTGTTGGTTAGCAGGACCAAGTTTTGAAAGACCCAGATCCGCAATACTAGCATTCCAATTTTCATCTAATAAGATGTTCGAACTCTTGATATCACGGTGTAATACTCTTTGTTGGGTACCTGCAGGATTATGAAGGTACGCGAGTCCACAAGCTGCCCCAATACATATTTTAAGGCGTTGAACCCATTTTAGATTGTTGTTGTTGAGATGTGAGTCCAGACTTTTGTTACATGCATACTCGTACACGAGAATCTTCTCTCCTTTCTCATCACAGTACCCTAAGAGGGAGACAATATTCTGATGCCTGTAAACCGAGAGTGTCATGACCTCTTTCCAAAACTCAGAGTCTCCTTGCCCAAATGTACGATCTAAACGTTTTATAGCACCCGTGGTGTACCCTTTCGAAAGGAGGAGTTCTCCCTTATACACTTTCCCAAATCCTCCCTCCCCAATGCAATGGTCTTTGGAAAAGTTGTTGGTTGCTGATTCTATGGTTTTTAGTTGTATTTTTAGGTGTTCAAACTGATTTAGGTCTGACATGCTTTTGATGATTGATCAAAAACTAAGAAACAGGAATAGAATTGTCAAAGAATAAAGCTTTAGGTGCTTGAAATATATGATATGACATCTGTCATTGCCTAGCAATATATACACCTCAAGGTCTTAGTCAACCTTCAGATAGTTGATTTTTTATTTTCAAAATAACAAGTTGGCAGCTTGACAGCGTAATATAAAGAGTCTAGCATGTTTTAACAACCTTTAGTTACTTGACATGTGCTTTAACATAATTAATATCATGTGCTACGGAATTTTCTCCTCCCTAATACAACTATTTCTTTTATAAAACTAGCATGCCCGAGAAGTAAGATGAAGTGAATGCTTAAAATTAGGATATTTGAATAGAAGAGATCCTACTTATATAGCGTAGAGGAGTAGCAGAAAGGTCTTAGTTTCACAATGATTTCTCTATGCATGTGCTTATGTGAAATGTACTTCAATTCTCTTCCATGCTTATTTATTCCTCTTTTTACTTTCAGTCCTGTTTGTATTAACATTTATTAAAGCCACCGCTTCTCTTTTATATTATATATGTAAGATTTGTTGAAAAACGAATTTTAATTGTTATCATTCGTTAATTGGAAAAACGCTAAGAGTTGGTGTTTCTCGAAAATTAATTTGTTTATTGTTAATTGTGTTACTTGATAATAATGAATATTTGTTAAGAGTTTTTTTTGGAAATCAAAGCTTAATTATAGGTGTTAGTTAATAAGAAGATTAATGTTAATTTAAGTTAGGGTATAATGAAATCGATTTCTCAACTGTTCAATTGTAGTTAGTTGTTAATAATTTGCTCAGGTCGCATGCCCGTCATTTCTATCTGCCCCTGGTGAAATTCCCGTCAGAATCCTCCATTGGATGAGGTAAGGTCGCATGCCCATCGTCTCTTCCCAAGTAAAATATCATATGATATATTCTTGATAAGGGGACGATTGGTTGGTTCAAGGGTCAAGAATGATAGATGAGCTGTTGGTATAATCTATCGGACAAGTTGCTCCAATATTTTAACTTAATTGTAATCTATATTAAATCAGTAATTATTACACAAGTTGAATCGGTATGTGATATTTTTTAATTCCTGTTTTTTTCAACTTTATAACATTCATATAAATTATATTAAGGTTGCACAAATAGCAACCCTTTTAAATTTCACTATTTGTCAACCATACGACATTTATAAATAACTCATATTGTATCAACTGGTTGATTTTTTTTTATAGTTTCACTATTTGTCAACAATATGGCATCTATATATGTTAGTATGTTACACAGGTTGTATCAATAACTAGTTCTTTAGAATTTCACATTCTTCATGTTGCATCGGTGTTTGTATTTATTTATTTATTTTTTCAAATTTCACGTACAATATATGACATCTATATATGTATATATATTACATAAGTTAATCGCATTAATAGCTACTTTTATCTTTACTATATTTCAACTACATATCTCTCTCTCTCTCTCTCTCTCTCTCTCTCTCACACACACACACACACACACACACACACACACATATATATATATATATATATATATATATATATATATATATATATATATATATATATATATATATATATATATATATATATATTTCTAGTTGGTATTTTTCGTAGGTATTTCCTGACTAGGATAGTGTTATGCTAGTTTATTTAGTAGATCTGTATGATTATCTATATTTGTTGGCTCTGTGTTTATGTTTATCTGTTATATATGTCGAAATATTGTGTTTGGTTGAGGTTGTACTGCTTTGTTTGGTAGCCAACAAACTCGGAGTGATCCAGACATAAGATGTAGGCCCCGAGGGTAAGCCAGACTTATGTTGTGGGCTCCGGAGCAATCCAGATATGAGCTGAGGGCTCGATAGGCATGCCAGACTCATAATGTGGGCTCAGGGGTAATCCAGTCTTTTAGCTGTGGACCCGGTATATGCTGTTATATGTATGTGTGTGTTGGTACTTTGGGGGAACTAACTAAACTTTGGCTTATAATTTTAGTTTATTGTCATAGATACTTCTGAGGATCGTGGGAAAGCAAAAGCATGATCGCGCACATCTTCCTGTTTTATGTCACTGGGTCTTGGGAAACTCTGATTTTGAAATAATGTTTTTGAAACAATTACCCCTTTTGTAAACAATGTCGGTTAATGGTTGATTTTGAAAATTTTAAATTTTGATTTTTGGAGTGTTATAAGTTGGTATCAAAGTCTTGGTTTGAGAGAATTTGATGAACATTCATGTGAATCCAGAATCAAATTAGGGAATTTCAAAAGTTTTTAAATGCTTTTCAAAATAACCAAGGAAGGATGCGTTGTGTACGATCAGCCGGAGAAAGAAAGTATACCCCAAGTTACCCATACTGTTATTTGTTATGATATGGTAGAACAGCATGCTAGTTGTAGGATAAGGATATTCAAGAATTACATAACAGAATTTCCTGTTGTATGATGCCTTATTTCCTATAGAGTTTTCTTGCTTATTGTTGTAGGACTCTTTTAGGTGTGAATTAACTATTAACTGAATACGTTAAGTCGCATGTCGCATGGGTGAAATAATTTTTGAGTGAAGCATTTTGGTCCTATGACGCAACTCTTGTTTGAGTCCAACCGTTGTAGGGTTGGATCTTTTAATCAAAAATTATTTAAGTTATGTTTCATGTGATTGTATTCATGCAGTAGTTAACTAGCACCAATGGGGGTTATTTGGCAGTTGATGGTAGGGTCAGGTGTAGATCCTAAGAGAGCCTAGGAAGTGCTTAGTGTGCTTGCTATGCTGTTTAGCTAGTATTGGAAGTACTATAAGTAGGTAACTTAGAGGACTCAGGATGATTCTTGAGAAAAGTATGGATAAGTGTGGAAGGTAGTATTGGGCTAGTACTATTAGAAGCATAGGATCCATACTTGAATCAAGGAAGTAATGAGGATTATAAGGAGCTGGTTGAGGATAGATAGGATAGTTGGATAACCATGACTTGTGATAGTGTTTATGTATCTATCAATCTTTTGGTTATGGTTGTTTAGGCTGGGGATGAGTTTGGTGATTGTTGTGCTTTAGTGGTCATGTCAGTTTGGGTTTAAATGGTGTAGACCTAAGTGAGTTATTAATTTTAATGTCTTAGGAGCCTTACTCAAGTAGTTCCAGTTGGGATACAGGACTCAAGAAGGAAGCAGTGGTCAAGAGTGGATCGAGAATTTTGGCCGGAGGACGAATGATTGGCAGATGGATTGGAATGTCACTATCTATGGCGAAGGTTATGTCCTTTTAGTTTTCCGATTTCGGAGAAGGAGTGGGCAGTCTTGTGACTTTCAGAGTTAGGATGTAAACCCAACATGAGGCTAGTTGGCTAAGATGTTTGGCAGCTGTATGAAAGCGTGGGAATGCGTATGAGGATTGTTGTGGTATGGATGCCTCATAATTAGACCAAGGGTCTGCTTCTTGGGATATAGGCATGTCAGGTGTTAGATGATGGTTTCAGGCGAATCGGGAGCGGCGACTTTTGTTGTCTCTGATGTATTCCATGTATGAGAATGATGCATTTTGGTATTTATGAACCACTTTTTTGTGATGAATTGACGGTTGGGATTGCAGGCGAGTAGTGTATGCTTTTAGATAGTAAGTTGGTATTTTGTTTACGCATTTGCATAAAATCTTTAATATTAAAGGTGGTTATGACTGGAAATTTCTGAGGTCTTCATCTGAGATTCAGAAGCTCTTGGGGTTTGCTTGGTCCGTACTTGGAAGGTCATGGTGCGTGTGTTATATATTCCAAGAGTCAGGGATGGTTTATACTTGATTGAGCCAGTTTGAGATATGATTTGGTAACAACACTAGTGGGTGGTAGTTCGAACCCTAAGTGAAGGAGAATTAGGTATTTTGCTTGGAGGATCATTGATCTGTTTGAGTTTGTCGCATCGGAAGAATGGTTTATAGGGATCTGCTGTGCGGGTATGTGGGATTTCTGTTTAAGATTTGGTCAAGTCAGGGGTATAGAGCAAGTGGCTATCGGATGTATGTGTTTAGAAAATACATGAGTTGTCTCATAGCAATAAGTAGTTGGTCAAGGAGCTTGTTGTAGCCATTGGTTCCTTTTTTGGATGCCAATGAACAGATGAAGAGGCACTAAGATCACTCAGGTTGAGTATCGGTTGTTGAGGGACTTGTCAGCTTGTTGTATGGATTGCTATTTACAGTCTAGATTGGGCAGTTATCGATTGGTTAATCAGTTTCTGAAATTGGTATGTTCAGCTCCGAATGGGTTTTGGTTCACTGGATTAGGTGTCAATGCATTCTCGATCATTGGTCATTTCATACATCATCAAAGTGGAGATTCTTTAGAATTTTTGAGCTGTATCAGTTGAAGTTCAAAAAATTTATCAACCTATCCTCAAGGTCGGATTGATTTGGAAGATGTCCTTGGTTATTGGGAGTCTAGAATTTGGGACAGTGTTGCTCAGTTTTCCTGACGAGACATTAGATCAACGAGGAATCTAATTTTTGGCATGCCGTGCTGGCAAGGTTGGTATTTGGATGGATCCGACTAGAGTCTTAGTAGCATTTCTAGATAACCTTAAAGGTTTTATCGAGATAGTTAAGCATTGATCGGGTCTGTTAAGTCTCAATCAAGGTATCAAGGTATGGGATCTTGTTTCGGTTCTTCATGAGAATGTCTTCTGTTAATGATTGAGGTTCGTCATTTCATTAGAACTCTAGTACTTCACCCCTTTTGGGTAAGGTTATGGGTTCCATAAGGGTGTGTATTGTGGTAAGTTCATAAGATATTGTCCTGAGGGATGTATGTGGGATGGACAAGATAACAATGGAACACTTGGTTCGAATTATATGCATGGTTCTTATTTGGGTTATAGCCTTTGAATTGGAGTAAGAGTGAAACCGTCTATCCCATTCTCGAGTCATGTGCGATCATGTTTTCATTTGATTTTATGTTGGTAGCAACTTGTACTGCGAAAGGAGTTGTGTGTG